TGTGGCTTGCCCAAGGTCATCCAGCAGCTGCGAGTGGAGGAGTGGGGAATCCAACCCGGTTCTCCCAGATTAGAGTCCGCGCACTCAGCCACTACACCAAACTGGCTGGTATTTGGGTATCCAAAGACCAGCAGCCCGTGTGGTCTAATGCAGCCTAAGGTACCTCACAGGGTTGTTGTGATGATCAAACGCAAAAGGGGAGAACAGTGTATGCTGCTTCAGGTCCCCAGTGTGGAGAAAAACAGGGGATAAATGAAGTAAATAAAATAATATAAAAGCCTCACCAAGGGAGCCAAGGTGTTGGATTTAGATCAGTGGAGGGCAGTGTTCCCTCTAAGCTGAGTTAGTGTGAGCCAGCTCACGTTTTTTTAGCCTCCGGCTCACACATTTCTGCCTTAGCTCAGGAAGGGATGGCTCCAGAGCAAACAAATCGATGCAGTAGCCAAATCGCTCGCTCACAACTTTAGTGCCAGCAGCTCACAAAGTAGAATTCTTGCTCACAAGGCTCCACAGCTTAGAAGGAGCATTGGTGGAGGGACCTCTTTTTAGAGGACACGCCCTCTTTTTTCGGTGTCTGTCTTCTTTTGGGCTCTGTAAAAAAACTGATGAAAACGTCCTCTTTTGGGGTTGAATATCCCTAGTTAGTAGCAATGATCACACCTGAAAGAGTAGGAGCATTTAAAATGAGATTTGTGATACTGATCACTTGTTTGAAGGAGTCAGATGGGAAATATGTCCTCTTTTTTTTTTTTTTGCTTTTCAAAATATGGTACCCTTACATCACTACTTAGAAGGTCCTGGGTGGCAGGGCTGGAAAACACCATTTGTGCCTGAAATGCCGGAGAGCGGCTGCTAGATATTAAGCAGAATGGAGCCATTATCTGTGTAAGGGAGGAGCAGAGGCAAAGCAGCCATGACCTGGATAGCCCAGGCTAGCCCGATCCCGTCAGATCTCGGGAGGTAAGCAGGATCAGCCTTGGCTAGTATTTGGAAGGGCGACCTCCAAGGAATACCAGGGGCACGACACAGAGGCAGGCAATTGCAAATCACCTCTGAAACGTCTCTTGCCTTAAAAAAGCAAGTCTAGCTCGCCACCTTGTGGTTCATAACGCTAAAAGAGCTTGAACTTCTGGCTGGGAGAACCGGGTTTGATTCCCCACTCCTCCACACGCAGCTGCTGGTGTGACCTTGGGTCAGTCACAAGTTCTCTCAGAGCTGTTCTCTCAAGAAGAGCAGTCCTCGGAAGAGAGCTCTCTCAGCCCCACCTACCTCGCAGGGTGTCTGTTGTGGGGAGGGGAAGGGAAAGGAGATTGTAAGCCGCTCTCAGACTCCTTAGGGAAGAGAAGGGCGGGGTATAAAGCCAGTCTCTTCTTGTTCTTCTTCCTGGCTATACTACCCACACACTGTCATATGATAATTAATTAATTCAATAGAGGCAGAGCACATCCTTTGCGTGTGGAAGGTCTAGGTTCAATCCCTTGTACCCAGGGGTCGTTTCGTAGAAAAAGAGCTAGGGGAACTCATTAGCATAACTCATTAGCATATGCCACACGCCCTGACATCACCGGAAGTGTGCCATAAGGCCACACCCCCTGACATCACCGGAAGTGTGTCATAAGGCCACACTCCCCGCCCCCAACGGTTCCGGCTGCCGCCGGCGGCCTTGCAGCTCCACTGCCGAGCCCCATGAGGGGCCCGGTGGTGGATCTGCAAGGCCAGCGGGAGTGCAAGGAAGCCCCGCGAAGGCCCTCCCTGGCCCCAGGCAGGCAGGGGTGGGGAGAGGCAGGGAGGAAGCAACTTCCCCTCCCTCTTCTCCTGCCTCCTCCTGGCTGAATGAGCGCCGGAAGTGGGGGGCGGGGCTTCATCATGTGCCCCGCCCCCGTACCTCACCCGGGGTAACTGCGATCCCCCCCCCCCGAAATGACCTCTGCTTGTACCTTGCAGTTACGGGATCTGGGGAAGGCCTCTGATATTGTCAGGGTGATACAGATAGTACTGGAGGTCTTTGCTAGCAGTGCTGAAACAGATCTCCGTCTAAAACCCTGGAGAGCCAGCGCCAGCAGAAGATGCTGGACTGTAAATGGGCTGATTGGCCCGACACAGTTTCATACTTTCACTTTGTAGAACTGCCTTCCCCAAAAAAATATCCTTGCCAAGCAGCCCCGTGGGTCTAAAGAATTTCCAGTTGATAAATCCTCTCCCCTTTTAACTACGTGCTTGCCAAAGGATGAAAAGAAAACCAGCTTGCGTGATCCCTTGACTTCGATAGAAGTACCTTTTGAAAGCTGCAAAGATTCCGTTTCCAAAACCCTTGATTAAAAAAGAAACTGGCTATCAGTCAGGCTTATAAGATGAGCCCTTTACACACCGCATGTCATGTGTACTGATGGAAACGTTGCAATGTAGGAACGAAAGAAAAGAATAAAACCTGTGTATAGATTCTTTGATAGGACTGTTGTAAGTGTGCGAAACTAACTTTGGCTGCTGTTTGGTGAAGAGGTAACTCTGGCCTACCTTCTAATCATGAGATCTGGAGCTCTTAATGGGCATTCTCCTATTTCCTCTTCTCCCGCATGGCATTTCCTCCCCCTCCCTCCGTTTCTTTTCCGACATTTCTGTAGCAAAATTGGACGCCATACTGTACAAAATCAATGAGATTCTATATGCGTTTTGTTTAAAGGAGCCCCCCACTCCTTTCACTGGCAGAGCAAACTATGGTGCATTCTGTCTGCATCGTGGGTTTTTTGAAGCTGTGGTTGCAGAATGGTTAATAACTCGCTGTGGTCAGCAAAAATGCAGCTGTAGTGCTGTCTGATCCTCACTGGGAGATCAGGCAGCATTAGAGATGTTAAATTTCCGGAAATTTTGAAGCTCGGAAAAAAACGCTGGTTTTTTTCCAGTTTTTTTCGGGGGGAAACGGAAATTTTCGGAAAAATTGAAACAATGCTACATTAGCATTTCTTTTGTCTTTTCTAGATTGAAAGTAATTCTGTTACTTTAGGAACATAAAATATGACTATGGACATTTTTACTTGGCATGAAATTATCACAACTAGCATATTAAAAATATAGTGTATCCAAACAATTATTACAAACAGAATACCCACCCACATGCAAAAACTAAACTGAAACCTTTTTATTTTCTTTTGACAATAGCACCTCCTAAAGGAAGAAATGCATCTTGTTCTTGCATTGGAGAGTTCAGTTTGTAACCTAGGACTTGCTTGTCCTCGGTGCACAGAAATTAGATCAATCTGATACCAAAGGGAAAGAACAAAGTCCAGAATAACAATCTCTCATAACAATCAAGTCTGGAATAGATGTCCACAATGAAGTCAGATGTCCATCTGTCCATTGGGATATTATGAATTTGTGTATTATCCTATGATGGATTACATGCATTGAATTACTTATTGTATTGAAGTCTCTTTTCTATTGCTCTTGGGTGGGTTGGTCAGTGCACAGTTGTTATTTATTGGTTTTTCTTGGTCATTGTTTACTGTGGACTGTATTGTTGCTTTGAGAATCTAGCCACGATTTTCCCAGGCAGATTATTCTTTTTGATGTACACGGAATAGGACCTATAGACCACATCCATTTTGCTTGCAAGAAACTCCGCTTGTACTTCTTCCGAGGCTTGTTTCTTTTCCAGCTTTTGCACCTTTTTCTTGACTTTCTTGGCATTGGCGTCCATTTCCTTCACCTTCTCAGCCGTTTGCTCCGTCATTTTTAAAGTCTCAGTCAGTTGGAGCTGTTGAGTTGCGAGGTTCGGGTTTAGATTCGTCAGCTGTTGTTCGATATTAGTCATCTGGTCCAGCAGAGGGCGCAAGGACTCTGCCAACATTTTGGAAAGCTCAGTGTTCTCTTCCGGTCAAGGGCTCGCAATCCTGGCTGGTTTCACTTTTGCTGGTTTGCCTTTCTCTGCCCTCTTCCCCACCATCTTTATGGATTGTTTACTTTTATAAAAAATTGCTAAAGTCTCTGAAATATGCCCATATGCTTATCCACGCTCTAGTAAGTCTCTCAAAACAGATTTCACCACTTTTAACAGTCCATTGTTGGTCATACGACCTCACACGGCATACATTCAAAATGCTCCATCTCCAACGCTTGTCCCGGTCAGCAGCTCTAGTTCCATACGGACACTCAGTGGCAGGACCGTCAGGGCGGAGGAGCGCCTCAGTTCCCCAGCATCGCGCTGGTGAAGAGGCCACCCCTCAAGAGCCCCATGGCTAGGACCCATCGCACACACCCCTTTCCACTGGTGCGCAGATCACATCCCCGGGAGGTCCGGGAGATGCGTCCACCAGCGTGTCACCATAAGCCGGAAGTCCTGGAGCCATCTGTCCTGAGCTAAGACAAAAATGTGTGCGCCGGAGGTTAAAAAACCTGTGAGCTAGCTCACACTAACTCAGCTTAGAGGGAACACTGGTCACTGTGATTGACGAAAGCTCCTCCCCTGCCACATATTTTATTAGTCTTTAAGGTGCTCCTGGACTCTTGCTCTTCTCTGCTCCTACAGACAAACTAACACAGCTGCCCTTCTTGGGCCCCGGTCACACGGGCCAGATAACGCGGGGGGGGGAGGTGTGGCTCTTTGCACCGGCGCAATAAGACCCACCAGAATGCGATCAGATGCGACGGCAGCACACCGCGGTTTTGTCTGTCAGCGCGTGCGCATCAAGGAGGACAGCCGGGGGGGAAGCCGCGCGCTGGCGCGATCACACGGAATGATTCCGTCAGCAGCCCATGGCAAACCATTTGCTAGTACATTTGTTGAGATACTTTTTAACTGCGCAGCTTCGGCAGCACGCCACGGGTTGGCCACGGGTGCGTTACACTTGCCAGATGCTGCGGTGTGATCGCGCCCTGAAAATCCGCCCAGCATTCATGGCTCTCCTGCGGCAAATTTGGCATGTGAACGGGGCCTTGATCTTTTTCCTGTAAGTAAAATGACAACAATGACCTGACAACCCTTGAAATATCCCTCTCTTGCATTTCAGAATGATGACCTCCGAAACCTGTCCCTGTCGGGCCATGTTGGTTTTGACAGTCTTCCCGACCAGCTGGTCAACAAGTCAACTTCGCAGGGTTTCTGCTTCAACATCCTTTGTGTTGGTAAGTGATGTTAACGGGCCTCTGTACAAAGAGATTTTCGGAATTCTTTCTGAGTGCAACATGCAGGGTGAGTGATATAAAAATCCACCCCCACCCCTCTCTAGGTACCAACAGTGATGAGGCGTGAAGAATATTTTAATAGAAAGCCTTTTGCACGTTTCAAGTTGAGGGGAAAATAGCAACATTATTCCTGTATTTTAATGTTTCCCACTGTGCACACTTAACTGTGTCTGACTAGCCACCGTTCTGGATAGATAGGGCACGCTTTTCCCAACCTTCATTAAAATCGGAAGCATCCTTATACTCAGAACAGTTTCATTTTTAAAAGACCTTTAATACTGTGTAGGAATTCTGTCTGCAACTGTGGGATAAGCCAGAATGTTGACTGGAGTGGGTCATAGGGAACAGATCGCTCCAGTCTCGGCCCATCTAGACCGGCTCCCAATCCGTTTCCAGGCACAATCGAAAGTGCTGGTGATGATCTTTAAAACCCTATATGTCTCGGGACCAACATACCCGAAGGGCCGCATGTTCCTTTATGAACCTACCCAACCACTATGATCACCTTTAGAGGCCCTGCCTTGGGGGACCCCACCTTTTGAGACCGGGCAGCTGGCAGCCCAAGAGAAGGGCTTCTTAGTCATGGGGTCATTTCGTAGAAAAAAGAGGTGCAGGGGCTCATTAGCATAACTCATTAGCATAACTTATTTGCATACGCCACACCCCCTGAAATCACCGGAAGTATGTCAGAAGGCAGCACCCACGACTCAGGCTCCACTGGGCTGTTTTGGATTGCTAGCTACTTGGGGGGGGACGTGCAGATCTGTCCTCACAGAGAAGGGAGAGCTTGTACCTGAATAAAGCTTGGTCTTAAAGTTGCCACTGGGCTGTTTAGGATTCCTAGCTATTTGGGGGGAACGTGCAGATCTGTCCTCACAGAGGAGGGAGAGCTTGTACCTGAATAAAGCTTGGTCTTAAAGGTGCCACTGGACTGTTTTGGACCGGGGAGGCTGGGGGGGGGGCTCTGCAGCTTACCTGGCTGCTTCTTGATTTGACTGAGGGCTGCTGGGAGCAGGGGGTGGGGCTTGTTGCACGTGCCTGCCACCTGGGCTCTTTACTGCCGGAGCTCCGCTCCTGTGCACTCCTGTAGGAAATGACCCCTGGTCGTGGCACCAAAACTCTGGAACTTTCTCCCTAGGGAGACACATCCAGGGGCCCGACGGGGTGGGTGGGGGAGAAACTTCCTTGTTTCATCTGGCTTTCCTTCCCTCCTTCCTGCTCATTGTTTTAATGGTTGTTTTTGTGTTTTTCTATGTGTTAGCTCTGGTTTTAACTTGTTTTAGCGTTGAGTTCTTTGTTGTTTTGATGGTTTTTAAGACGTGATTTCATCATGCGTGTTTTTAATTCGTTAGCGAAACAAATCTGTACAATTCAACCTAGTGTAACACAACAAGTCCATTAATTCGTGGTGGAGGCAACGATGCATTTAAATAATTTACTTTGCACAAACAGCGCACAGCTAGGAAACTGAAAAAGGTTGGCACGTAGAAAAAATAACCAGCTGCTGAAGGCTCAGATAAACAGGGTAGACTTGACTCGGTACCAAAAGGCTACAAGGATGTCACCAAGGGAACATCTGTTGGGAAGGAGTTCCATAAATACAGTACCACCACGAAGGAGACCTTAATCTCCAGTAGAAACTGAGTTTGGGGCCTCAGACAGGGTCTACAAAGACTGTCTCAGCAGACAGGCAAGTTCAGGTTGGAGAAGGCCGCCCTTGCATATGAACACAAGAAGAGCCTGCTGGATCAGACCAGTGGTCCATCTAGATCAGCAGCCTGTTTCACACAGCAGCCAACCAATCGCTCTGGAGGGCCAACAAGAAGAAGAAGAGATTGGATTTATACCCCGCCCTTCACTCGGAGTCTGAGAGCGGCTTACAAACTCCTTTCCCTTCCCCTCCCCACAACAGACACCCTTATGAGGCAGGTGGGGCTGAGAGAGCTCTTTCGAGAACTGCCCTTTCAAGGACAGCTCTTACCAGAACGAGGGCTTGCCCAAGGTCATCCAGCAGCTGCAAGTGGAGGAGTGGGGAATCAAACTCGGTTCTCCCAGATTAGAGTCTGCACACGTAACCACTTCCCCAGATGTTGCCCCCAGCAATAGGAGTCAGAGGTATGCTGCATCTGATAATGGAGGTTCCCTTTAGCCGCTGTGTTTAGTAGCAATTGATGAACCTATCTAGTCTCCAGGAATCTCTGACTTTGTTTTAAAGCGATCTGTGCTGATGACCATCACTAAATCCACTAATATAACATACTATAATTACTCCTTTTTAGTTCAGTCGTCTAGTATATTAAATTACGTATTTTTGGTCATCCTGATTGGCCCAACACATACAAACACATTGTTGCATGAGTGCTAGAAACTTGATTTTTCAAAATTAAAACAATGAAAAGCTGAGATGCACAGAGAGCTGAATTCCTCACCTAGTACTGCAGTCTCTGCTTTTTCTGTGCCCCAGAAGGCTGCAGTGCCCAAACAACCGGTATTTTGAAGGTTGCAGCCAGAGTCATCTTGAGTCTCGGAGTCAAATTTATCTGTGGAATGCAAAGTGGTCGCCGCCTCTGCTTTGCCCTCCCTCAAGGATTAGGACTTCTGTCTCCATCAGTTTTGGGTGTTGTTGTTTTTTTTAAAAAAGAGTCATGTGGCGAAACCACAGCAGAGTGGTTTGGACTTCTCAAAAACTAGTAGTATGTGTGGGGAGGTATCTTTTCCTGTAATGTCTCATTTGCATTCCCTGAAAGGCGTTTTCTGTGTGCAAACAGAAGGGTTGATCTTTGCACTCGGTTTGGCCAGGCCAAGCTATTCCCATCTGTTTATATGAAATCTGGTTTGTTTTTGCAGTGAAAGTATAAGAAGCAGCTTCATTCTTCCCTTTTCTAAAGGGTGTGCAAGTGTGTGTGTGTATGTGTACATGCATATATATATATATATATATATATATA